TATATATATATATATATATATATATATATATATGTGTGTGTGTGTGTGTGTGTGTGTGTGTGTGTGTGTGTGACAATTCTCAATATAATATTGAACCGTTAGATACGACAGCCACGGTTCAATATGCGCTTGTATATTGTGGTTTTTCGTTTTGCGTTTAAATAACTTCCGCAACTTTTATTTCTCTTTGTGTGTGCCCGTGAGTTTGAGCATTATATAATGAGCATTTGAAAGAGCAACACATGACGATTAGCAATGGATTACAAATATACTTAATTATTAAGAAAATACCTGAGATGGCTTGAAGAACACAGATAAACCGTACATTGCCGAGTCGAGTGTTTATTGTCCATGTTTCATCATTCAAAACGTTTCTATCAGTCACAGGATAGCTGGATGTCTTTGTCCATATTAGGGATTTCCTGGAGCCTCATCAGTTCTGTTACTTAGGCTAGCCGCACACTAGACGATTTTAAGGCCGATTTTAAGCCCAATTTGCATCCCCAAACGATCGGGGTGTGTGGCCCGATTTGAGGCTTGTCACAAATGATTTTTTGTCCAAAAATTCTCTGTTGTGTGGTGTCATTACGGTTATTTATCTGCTCCCGATCGAGACGGAGCATCCCCGAACTCAAATCGTAAATATCAAACATGTTTCAGAGGATCATAAGGCTAAAAATCAGTTGAACTGTCTTCATGTCTGTGGTCTCCCATGGTTTTAAAACCGTTTAAGATTTGAAAATCATCTAGTGCGCGGCCAGCTTTATGTGATACATATGCGGAGTTTCTGCGCGAGGGCGCCCTCTGGCTTCCAGTATGAATTAAACAAACATTACATGTGTTTATTTATAGCACTCAATACTAGCCACTCCATCCTATTTTGGGGTAAAAATAGGAAAAATAATACTTCTCTCAAAAGAAATTTGAAGTAGACATATGATAATTCATGTTTTTCTCCAGTTTTTGTTTTAAAAATCACATTTTAAATTGCAAATCGCAAAAAAAAACAAAAAACTCTGATGTTCCAATTCATCAGAACCGAACTGAACCTAAAACTGGTTAAAAAAACCGAGGTGTGTATTGAATCGTAGCCTAACTGTATTGTTGCATCCCTAATATTTACATACATACACACACATATACTGTATATGCATACATATACAGTATATGTATGCATATACAGTATATGCATACATAGACGTATACATACACACACACACACACACACATATATATATATATATATATATATATATATATAAATGCTTTTAAAGAAGTCTCTTATTCTTACCAGGGCTGTTTATTTAATCAATAATACAGTAAAACAATAATAAAATACAGTAAAACCGTAATATTACAGTTGAACCCCCCCCCCAGTGATTGCAAACCTTTATTTTCAGCAGCCACTTCAGAATCTTCAGTGTCATGATCCTTCAGAAATCATTGTAATATGCTGATTTGGTGCTTGAGAAACATTTTCTATTGTTAATGTTATCTTTTAATTAAAAAATTCCTTTAGACACCATCTAGAACAACTTTAGAACAACTGCCGAAATAAACACATGATTCTGAGATATCACAGAGGATACATCTATGCCATCAAAAACCAACTAAATGAAGGCATCTTAGTATGTGACAAAAGTATATGTATGTACCTTGTTAAGCCAGAACTGGACTAAGATTACTTAACACCCATCCATGCTCCTGGCTGGATTTCTCTCAAGGGACAAGTTTCATAACAGTCTGTGATAATTTCTTTCTTTCGTTCTTTTTCTTTCTTTCTTTCGTTCTTTTTCTTTCTTTCTTTCTTTCGTTATAATAAAAAAAAAAAAAAAAAGAATGAGAGCTAGTGCACAGTATGTACAATTTGGCATATTTTGTATATAGTGTGTATGAGGTAGAGTCCAGTAAGAGTAGGGCAGGGCATTGTGAGTAATTTATTCAATCCCTGAGCTGTAATCCTGTGGTCAGCGGTGCAGATGGGGACCTGGGCATGTTTTGATTTCCGTGTGAGCTCCTTCCTATCCCCTCTTAAGGGGACAGTTGGAGCCGTTAAGGAAACTTTACCAGATGTTAGCCTGAGTGTTCAGGGCTCAGTCAGGTTTAAATGTGCTAATCTAAATAGAAGTTTAGTTTCAGCTGTGGCAGACTAAAACCCCCAAGGCAAAGTAAGTTAATCCTGTATTATAGGGCTGAATTACTCACACACCAATGCTAACCTCAGTTTTCCCGCACACTCTCGTATACCATCATCACATTAGCAATCTGAATAATAATTAATAAAAAAAAATGTAAATGTTGTTTTCATGTTTATAAAAAACAAGATGAATTATCTTAATTTCCCCTTACATTTATGTATTTCTGAATACTTCTAAAGACTATTAAGGCACACAAAATGCAAGTTATTTTTTCTTTTTTTCCAATTCTGATTTAATTCTATTACTGTGGCACCAGATGTTTAATTCATTGTGTGTGTATATTGAGAGCTCTGTTGACTGTTTTTTTTACAAACCCACTTTGTAACTGTATAAACATAGTGATGCACTGAAAATAATTTTTTACCTGAACACTGAAACCGAAATTAAAGTTTTTATTTAGCCAAAAAAACAAAAACAAAACAGAAAATAAAGTTTGAGTAATTAAATATGACAAATTGGGTAATTGAACTTAAAGGGGTCATATGATGCGATTTCAAGTTTTCCTTTCTCTTTGGAGTGTTACAAGCTGATTGTGCATAGATAAGATCCCTGAAGTTGCAAAGACTAAAGTCTCAAAACCAAAGAGATACTCTTTATCAAAGTTAAGACTCTGCCACGCCCCCCTAAAACGGCTCGTTCTAACACGCCCCCACATATCTACCTCACTATGTGGAAATATTTGCATAATGCGGCCCAAATGTGCACGCAAAGAAAGAAGGCGTGGTTTCAGTAACCAATAATTATCTTTAAAAAAGCATCATATGACCCCTTTAATATGCTTTCCAGCGTGTTGTGTTCTTGGGTGATAAATTAAACCAGTCGTAGAAGAGTTCTTCAGCAGCAAGCTGCCTCTCGATATTTCAGCCAAACACAATTTTACATATTAGCATCCTTTCTGGTCACAATGAAGTATGTCCACACTGCTGCCATGATTATATTTTGTTGTGTGCATGAAATAGATGCTGAAATGGTCAAAATATGTCATCAGAGAAGAGCTAATTAAATGTCACTGTTTTGGCCCTTGCAAACTTTTTACGGTTGTCAAAATTTTGATGCATCATTAGTGAACATTGTTCTTTTTAGAAATGCTCACAATATAGTTTAATCAATCAATCAATCAATCAGTACTAATTGCTAGATACTACAACAGTTGTGTGGCTCATCATACATGTAGACTGATTTTTGTGTGTGAAGTAAGAGCTAAATCAGTAAATGAGGATTTGATTTTGAAATCTGGTGCAGTTGGTCAGTGCTGTAGCATTGGTCTTTTTCACCACAGTTTCCACTCTCCCATTTGGTTTTTCTTCTATTCTACAATTAAAAAAAATTTGTTTCTAAATGCAATTTCTGTGATCTGCATTACTTGTCCTTTGGACTGGCTAGAGTCACAGGCGGGTTTCTTTCTTTAAGGCCATTTTTTTCTTCCTTCTGTTTGCTTCAGCATAACCTCCTGTTTAGTCCAATCCATTTTTTCCAAATTGAACTGAATTAATTGTAATAAATGTTCCCTGTGTCTGTCTCTCTGTCCAGCATGCGTCTTTGGTGGCGAGTCGTTCAGAGAAGGGAACAAATGTGTCGAGTCGTTCACTGGGTGCGAGATGTCGTAACTCCATGGCTTCTTGCTCAGACGAGCTGCCACACATCGGAAATTACCGGCTCCTCAAAACCATCGGCAAGGGCAACTTTGCTAAAGTCAAACTAGCCCGCCACATCCTCACGGGCAAAGAGGTGAGAGAGAAAGACTGCAAAAGAGAGAGTTTACATAGGTAAAACCAGTAGTGTGTGATAAGATGTTGGTACAGGAGCTGCTGTATTATGTCTCCTTATCATCAGAACACTTGTGAGCTGTAATGTGAGCTGGTGGTATATTTTTAAAGTGGTACAACTTAAGTGTGAACAACTCCACCCCCACGTTTACTTTTTATAAACCAAAGCTGATATAGTGTGATTTTAGGTGGTCTTTTTAGTGGGCAGCAGAGAGCTTTAATAATCTTGGACAGTAATAAATTATGATGTTTAAAGAATCATGCCAGCATACAGTGTTAAAATATTTAAAGTTCTAGATAATACCATAATAGAGAGTTTAAAAACTTTTGCAGCATTAATAGTGAACTTGTGGCAGTCAATTTGACATAGTCACCACTGACAAGCTACTACTAAATATATTGTAGAAACGTAATTTTCTGTAAAGCTGCTTTGCAATGATTTGTATCGTGAAAAGCGCTATACAAATAAACTTGAATTGAATTGACTTGCAGTCTGGAGCCACGTATACACCTTTGGGAGTGACAACTGCATTTAAATACAGATGGGAACCCCGTATATTATGGTTGTGTTTGTATACGGAATACAGTCGTCACTCCCAGACTCATGATGGCTGACATAACCACTACAACAGTTTGGCTGTAAATAGGTAACATGGATGCTAAAAGTTTTGTGCTATTTTTGACCAGAGTAATATTAGTGATCAGATAATAAAATACCCATCAACAGAGTGTTTTGTTTATGCTCTTTTTTTAGCTGCTACTAACAGCATGTGCTCTGTTTGAACTGTACAGTATGAGTTGCCTCTAGACCACATGGCTGGTGGGAGCAGCTATGGTGGAGAGAGACTGGCATGTGAATTTGCAAATGAGTCAAGACACATAGCTCTGGCTCTGACTAGCGCCACACAAGAACAAAAGAGACTTATATGCACTTTTAATTACATCATTGCATTAACAGTTTGGCTCTGTACACACTACACATTTAATGAATAAATTTGGTGATCACCTGAATTTTTTAATTTGTTGAATGTGGTTGTCACTCCTGTAAATAAACAAAGCTCTGAAGCAAGGAGTACTTTTAAAATCCTGACACAGATGTCTTCATATACTATGATATATAGTGGAGTCAAATACACTACTGTTCAAAAGTGTGGGGTCCGTAAGATTTCTTTTTGAAGGCAAGTAATTCTTTTATTCAGCAAGGATGCATTAAATTAATAAAACATGACATTAAAGACATTTATAATAGAAATTAAAAAGATGTATTTCAAATAAATGTTGTTTTAAACTTTCTATTCACCAAAGAATCCTGAAAATGCATCAAATTTTTTTTACAAAAAATATTTAGCAGCACAACTGTTTACAACATTGACAACATTGTTTTCAACATCACTGATAATAAGAAATGTTTTTTGAACACCAAATTAGCATATCAGAAAAATTACTGAAGGATCAGTGAAGACTGGAGAAATGGCTGCTGAAACTTCAGCTTTGCCATCACAGCAATGGCTATTTTAAATTGTATTTTACACTATTACTGTTTTACTCTATTTTTTGATCAAATACATTTTGAATAGTAGTGTACATATTCTCATTTTTGTAACCAAGAATTGTTTAATCTGGTTTCCCCATCCAGCAAGATTTGTTTTGATAAAAGCCTAAACTAATGAATGTCAAATGACACTATATCAGGTTTGATCACAAACAATTAAGACTTTTTTGGGGGCTATCTGTCTGGCATAAGAGAAATTTTATTTGGAGCTTAAATCACTAATTGTGCATTGCATTTTTAGGTTGCAATAAAGATTATCGACAAGACTCAGTTGAACCCAACCAGCCTCCAAAAGGTAAGACCAGTTTTCAAGACATTTTTTCTTTATTAATACAACTGTCACAATGCCATGCAATGATGTCATTTTAACATAGCACATAAAAGGAAAAAAATATGGACATTGTACGTAAACATTATCCAATGTCCAGAAAATATTGAGCACCTCAAATATATATATATATAGAGAGAGAGAGAGAGAGAGAGAGAGAACAGTGTGAGGCTCTTGGAAGTATTGCAGTAATATGTGTGTGCTGTTAGTGTTTAATGTCGCTGTTGAGTTTGCACTCTATCCTGTACACCAGTGACTCATCTGTCTCATTATAGATTATCACCGGCCTTCAATCCTCCCACTGAAGCCCACTGCTCAAATATAGCACTGAGTTTGAGCATACATCGAGATTTTTATTGATTATTGACAAAGCTATGCTTGAAATGCTTCTGACTTTTAACACGCTTGTGAAATCAGTGGTTTTCACTCATCTGGAGGGATCTTACATTAAATCTCAGCACTCACAACTCAGCACTTACCCTTTTGTGGGTAAGTGTACAAAATTTTAAATGTAGTAACTTAAACAACAAACCTTTTTTTAAACCTTTTTAAACAAGGTTTAAAAAAAAACATATGCAAGGATGAATAATTCACAATAAGATCAATAACATACTTTTTTTTATTAACAGTATACAAACAGGAATGAGAACATGAAAACACATATCAATTCAACATCCCCACCAAAATCGATAACATACTTAAAAGATGTATTTCATGCTGACTTTAAACTGACAATAGCAGTTTTTCAATAAACGTAATATTGTGCTTAATCATTATGAGAGATTGAGGCAATGTGATAAAAAAGAGAAGTGTAATGTGATTGACTTATGAATCGACAAGCCTCAGTAACCTACATGGGTGTGGAAAACAGCTGCTCATATATTCTTGTGATATGATTGACAAGGTTAGCTGTACAAGCTCCTCCCAAACATTTCATTAGACATCTGTATTGACTAGAAGACAGACTGGGTTGATTTAATCTTTACATTTTCAACTGTGTGTGTGTGTGTGTGTGTGTGTGCCTTCACGTGTAAATGTATATTTATCATCCAATAATGTGAATTAAAGGAACCAGGGGTGTATCAAAGCCATTACTTCTGAACTGCAGGTTCAAGACTCCATCCTGAGGTTTCCACAGCAACAGGGATTATATATTGAGTACTGCGTACAGATGGAGAGAGAACAAAATACAGAAGTATATATAATATAGTTTAGTCATGAAACTCTAGATGGCGCAGGCTGATGGGTTGTTAACGTAACTGATGATATTCAGAGAGTTAAATGACTTGGCACAAGCTGATTGGTGTTTCTGGATATTGCTTTCCTACATGAAGGCTTCATGTTCGTAATTATTGATGTAGATGAAGAATATCAATTTATTCTGGGAATGATTTAAATGGTATGTATTATTCTTGATAATCATTTTGTTCTCTCTTCTTTTGCAGCTGTTCAGAGAGGTGCGGATCATGAAGACTCTCCACCACCCCAACATTGGTAAGATGCACTAAAATGCAATAAATGCAAGCCTGCTGCTTTTATAATAATTACAATACAAAATAATTAGCTATTGCTGTTTAAATGTAAGTTTACAAAAAGTATTTCATGTCATCTACTCTTGTATATTACAGTCCAACTCTTTGAGGTTATTGAAACAGAGAAGACGCTTTATCTTGTGATGGAATATGCAAGTGGAGGTGAGCTCTCATGTACATACTGGAGTATGGAATATAACTTTGTTCTAAGAATAGAAAACAAATATAACTTAATTCTAGTGTGGCCAACATAATGCTGCAACAATGCAAAAAGACTTGATGGTCAACATAATATTTATAGGTGCATCTGTGATATTTGGGATATTATTCATGTGTGATTTGGTTTTCCAGGTGAGGTGTTTGACTACCTGGTGTCTCATGGGAGAATGAAAGAATTAGAGGCTAGAGCCAAATTTAGACAGGTGAGACATTTACCTTATCACTGCAGCATATAGTGCAGGATTAAAGATCATGGTATTGCATCAAATTAAGCCTCTGGTTTCATGTGTTTTAACTGGGTTGTGTTATTTTTCGTTTTGTTTCAGATTGTGTCAGCTGTTCATTACTGTCATCAGAAGAATATAGTTCACAGGGATCTGAAGGTACGGGCTGGAATCTTTAGAATGAAAAAATTAAATTTAAATTAAAATATATTTTAAAAATCTGAATTTTTGTCTTGTTTTCCACTAGAAATATCCAAATATCCTTAACACAATATAAATTTACTTGAGAAGCAAAATTGCAAAAGGAAATGTATGAATTATGCAGATTTTTCAGATCCCATCAGCCTCACTATGTTATGCCATTTTGTAACACTTTCTGTCCTGTTTTTTCTCTCCTTCACACAGTTCTGTACAACTTAAATATTTCCATCTCTTTCACTATTTCTGTCTTTACAGGCAGAGAATTTGCTATTGGATGCAGATGCTAACATAAAGATAGCAGACTTTGGCTTTAGTAACGAGTTTACGTTGGGGAATAAGTTGGACACCTTCTGCGGTTCCCCACCTTACGCAGCTCCAGAGTTGTTTCAAGGAAAAAAGTATGACGGGCCAGAGGTGGATATCTGGAGCCTGGGGGTCATTCTGTACACGCTGGTCAGTGGGTCGCTTCCTTTTGATGGACAGAACCTCAAGGTACAGTTACTCTGTTCCTACACCCACTATGATCCATTCCAGTCTCTTGACACCTTACTTACATTGGTATTTACAACAAAATACAAGTCAATCGCTTTTATTTATATAGTGCTTTATACAATACAGACTGTGTCAAAGCAGCTTTACAGTGTTAAACAGGAAAATAATGTTTCAATGATGCAAACAAAATTCAATTCTGCTGTAAAGCAGCTCTAAAAAGAGGACAATAGTAAACATCCAATTTTTCAGTTAAAGTCAATTCATTGTTTATTCGGTTCAGTTTAATAGCTGTGTGAAGTTCATCAATTATGGAATGAGTTCAGTTCATCTATAAAGCATCTGTTTTTTATTTATTTAAACTGTTTTCTATTTGAATATATTTTAAAATAAAATGTATGCCTGTGTTGACAGCTTAATTTTCAGCAGCCATTAGTCCAGTCTTCAGTGTTACATGTTCCTTCAGAAAGTATTCTGATATATTGATTTGGTGCTAAAAATGAATAGAAAGTTCAAATGAACAGCATTTTATTTTTTGTAACAATGTAAAAGTCTTGCAATTTGATGCTCCACTGCTGAATATGGGAAGTAATACAAAAAAATCTTACTCTAAATGAGAGAAATTAATTTAGAATAGTGCACCATTTTTTAACTTTGGACCTAAAAAGTTCTTTAAACCCTTATTTCTTTAGTAACTTTCTTGTCTAAAGACACACGGATATTTGTTTGTCACACATTTTGCTGGTGCATGTGTGTTTTCCAGGAGCTGCGTGAGCGAGTGTTGAGGGGGAAGTACCGTGTGCCCTTCTACATGTCCACAGACTGTGAGGGGATTCTGCGCAGGTTTCTTGTGCTCAATCCCAGCAAACGTTGCACTCTAGAGGTGCATATGTGCAGATACATGGATACACTCTGCCGTACCAAATCCTGTACCAGATACATTATATGATGCCTCTGTGCTGAGTCATATCTCTGTAAACTTTCTGTGTTGTAGAATGCATACAGCATGCATTTGCTAGAAATTGCTAATTATTTGTGTGTGATTCGAGTTATGAAGTCAGCGCAGTTAAATGACTGAGCTGGGAGGTTTCTGTGTAATCAGGATGCTGGTATTTCCTCCACAGCAAGTGATGAAGGATAAGTGGATGAATGCAGGGTATGACAGCGATGAGCTAAAGCCTCACACTGAACCAGCAGAGGACTACAGTGACCCCAACCGCATTGGTGAGCATGTAGACCAGTAGGAAACTGATTCAAGTGTTTTACTATGTATTTTGCTACTATTATTATTTTACTGTTGTGTTCAAATTATCCTTAGAATAAAGAGACTTGTTGTGTTTGTAAATATTCCTCTCTGTTCTCTGATTTCTTTGTCTTTCCAGAGATTATGGTCGGGATGGGTTTTACTACAGAAGAGATTAAAGACTCTTTACTTAATCAGAAATATAATGAAGCCACAGCTACATATCTATTGTTGGGGCTGAAGACTGA